TAAGTTTTTTTTAAATCATTTTAAATCAATCATGTATATTCTTTCTTTTCATTTTACATAAAAACAAAATTCTTTATGTTTTGTTTCCCAAAATATATAAGTTGGCTGTTTTCTTCTTTTAGAAAAGCAAAGAAAAGATAAAGTGAGATAAAGGTTTTATTTCTTTAAGGTAAATTTATATATCTCAGCCAATTTTTTTATTTCATAAGATAATGGACGCTTTTTTTTTTCAATTATCAGCCAGTAAAGTAGAACACAGTTTGCATATATAATTATAGCAGAACCCCATACCTAGTTGCAGAATATAAAACTGATATTAATGAATTTGTGTTTTTAGACTAAGTTTTACCTGATTGATATGGTTTCTGGCTTCTGCTGAACCATTTCGCATATGAGGAAATCTCGTATCAATTCTGCTAATTCCCTCTTTATTATTGTTAACAAAGAAATTTGGACTTAAGCCCGTAGTTCCTAACCCGGAACCAGATAATATTAGCAAGATTGGTGGTAGTCTAGTGGTAGGAGAAATGATTTATGTTTTAAGAACAAAGATGGAAGTGAGACTTTGAAGATACATTAACCCTAATTCTTAAGATCTGAAAGGACAAATATATCAACTAAAACTAATATTAAAAGACATGAAGAATAAGAGAAGAGTGATTGTCATCTAATTTGAAAGTAACAGTTCATGCAACGGCTTTACTTTTTTTTAACAATTAATTAATCCAATGGCTATTTATCTGTTTTATTGGAAGAAAAATATGAAATTCGAGTCTCTACAAAAATAAAACAATGAATAACTGAAGTCTGATGATCGGCCCAAACCTAGCCCAACATTTCCAGGCTGTTCAGTCCGATTACGGCCTTAAAAGGGAGCTATTAGGCGCTTTATAGTTAGCTAGATATTTTTATGGAACACGTTTAGATCAATTATATGTACGTAAGATTCTTTTTTTCTTTGAAAAGGATTTTCTATTTAAAACATGAGAATAGCAAATGTTACATGGCCTGAGGCCAGTTGACTAAATAGCCTTTTTCATAAACATACAAGAACCAAATTGAATCAAAGATGAGAGAGCCTATGAATGCCCAATATCGAAACCATCTCTTTGTAGTTGATTATCGAAGAGTCAAGGGAAGAGATAATAATTTGCAGAAATCGATTTCGTTTCTCCTGAGGTTATGCCGTGAAGAACCAAAGCTGTATTAATGCCGAGGCAATTGATGGTTGAGTCAGACGAAGACTAGAGATGCGATTCCTTACCAAACGGTCAATATCCCTGTTGATGGTTGTGACCGGTTTGTAGGAGCTGCGATGAAGGCGGCTGTTTCGTTATAGCCAGCTCAGGTACAAAGTGGCTTGCCAAGCAATCAACAAGAGCTTACGTGATGGATTGGGAGATTTGTAACATCTTAATTGTTGTAGGATCATGTCCCAATTTCGCTGTGGAAGAAGGACGCATCTTCTTGCCGATTCCTTCCAGATTTCCCAGCTATAATCACAATCAAAAAACAAATGGTTCCTCGATTCAAGCCCACTGTTACANAGAAGGCAATTTGTATCAGTCTGTAGACCCCAACCAGCTAGCCGATCTCGTGTTGGATTCCTATCGAGAATTGTAAGCCAAGTGAATGTTTTATGCTTTGGAATTCNACCAGAGAACCAAACCTCTCTTGACCAAGAAACCAGAGGTTTATGGCTCTTTACCAAATTGTATATTTCGCTTGTANAGTAGGTTGCTCNCTTCATGCCATTTGGCCACCATTCATAAACATCTTCACTTTGCGTAATGATAATTGAAGAGAGAGCTGTGTGGATTCTGATTTGTGCTTCTGATCTTGCAGGAGGTAAAACCCATCCTTCAGTTTCCCACAGCTCCGTCAGAGTAGAGTCCTGGGGAATGCCCATGGAGCCAGAGCCTTCACCAGATATGAGCTGCTTGATGTTACCTAAGGATGACCAGTTGCTGGACCAAAAATAGCATCTTTCACCATTTCCCACCTTCATTCTGATCCACTGGTACACCTTATCCCTTAGTTGTAGCAGTTCATTTGCAAGCCATGAATGTTTCCTTTTTGTGTTTATGACCCANAAGTTGTTAAGATTCCCCTCTAAGACCTCCATGATGTACCAATTTCCCCATATAGACCGAGGAAGAAAGAACAACATCCAAATTAGCTTTATAGCACATGCCGAGTTCCAAGCAGCTAAGTTCTTGATTCCTAACCCTCCTTCCTCCTTGCTATAGGATAGTGTGTTCCAAGCAACCTTTGCTGTAGATTGACCCTCCGTTTTCNCCTTCCACAGGAATCTCGAGCACAAAGAGTTGATTTCNGAGAGACAACCCGTTGGGAGAATAAAGGAGCTTGTCCAAAAATTTGTGATCCCTGCGATGACCGTGTTAATAAGCAAGAGCNTACCAGCAAAGGAAAGGGATCTGACCGTCCACGANTGAAGCTTTGATTTAATTGACTGAATAAGTGCAGCACATTGGAGGAGAGTGATCTTTTTCGTGCACAATGGAACACCCAGATANCGAATTGGTAGGCTAGCAGGAACAAGTTTAGTTATTGTTGTGATCATGTCCACCTCATCTTGTCTTAGACCAGCAGTGAATATACTCGTCTTCTGCATGCTAATAGCCAGCCCTGACCTTTCTTCAAAGTCCTTTAGAACTTNTAGTACACTAGTAACCGAATCAACTGAGCCATCAGTAAAAATCAGTAAGTCATCTGCAAAGCATAAGTGAGTTAGTCTAGTTCTGAGACACTTGTTGTGATATTTGAATTTTCCTTCCAAAGCTGCTTTGTTCAGAG